CCCTGACAATATGTCCAATCTACTTGTAGACATTATATTGCTATTACTACTGTTGCAGGGTTGAGTATGAAATAGTATTTACTTTTATTGTCTTTTACCTTGTCCATCTCCCAGTGTCTTCCTTGGCCACTAGCCATGTTGTGCTGTCCTTTAATACTTTCTTTCAGAGAGCAAATTCTAAAGTTTTGATGAAGTCTAGTTTATGAAAGTTTTATACAAATTCATGCTTCTCTTTATCCTATTCAAGAAATCTTTGCCTAATCCAAGCTTGTAAAATTTTTCTCTTATATTTTTCTAAAATTTTTATAGTTTTGGTTTCTTCCTGTACATTATGAAGTATGGGCCAGATTATTTTTTGCAAATAGTTTCCTCAACAATATTTCTTAAAAGGATTATATGTTTCCTCATTGAATTGCCTTGGCACCTTTGTCAAAAATTAATTGACCTTATATGTATGGGTCAATTTCAAGACTTTCTATTCTCTTATGATCTATATACCTCCCTTTATGCCAATACTTTAATGATTAGCTGTAAAAGTATTTTAAATTAAGTAATGTCAGTCATCAAACATTACTCACCTTTTAAAATGATCTATTTTAGTTCTTTTGACTATCTATGGAAATGTTAGAAATAGCTTGTCAATGGAGGGATAATTAACATCTTAACAATATTCTGTTTTCTGGTCCATTAACAAGGTATCTCTGTATATCCATTTGTTTAGGTCTAATTTATTAAAACTCAGCAATTCCTTAAAGCTTTCTGTGTACATATATTATATATCTTTTGACAAATTTATCCCCAAATATTTATATTTTTGTTGCTGCAATGGCTCTGTAGGATAAGCACTGGACTGCAGTTTGAGCCCATCAGCCCCTCTTCAGGAAGAGAGATAAGGCTTTCTGTTCCCACAAAGATTTATAGCCTCGGGAACTCTGTACAGGGTTGCTGTGAGTCAGAACAGACTCAGTGTCACTAAACAACAACAGCAACACCTATCAATGATGTGGTGAGGCCAGCTAGATCCCCACAAGGGCTCCCTGCCTACCACATGATATCCCTGCCTTCTCATAAGCACCCACAGCAGTAACTGTAGTGACCACAGAAAATTCCATCAGGATATGCTGACCTGATCCCAGTCCTCATTCTCCCTTCACCTTACAGTCTGGAGTCAGAACAAGACAGCCAAAGAGAAAAGATACAGGTCGATTTCAAGACTTTCTGCTCTTTTGGAATCTATATATCTCCTTTCACGCCAATACTTTACTGACTTGATTACTCTAGCTGTAAAAGTATGTAAAAGTAGGTAATGTCAGTTATCCAACATTAAAAAATATTTTACTTTCCTTTTGTTTGTCACTCAGGTGCATAAGAACTTCACAACAGTACACTTTATTTCCCGCCTCCAATTTTTCCTATTATCTTGGTCATACAGACTAGTTCTATACATGGTGCTGTTTGTTGTTGTTAATTGCCCTCAGTCAGTTCTAACTCAGAAATAGGTATAGGGTTTCCAAGGAGCAGCTGTTGACCTTATGGTTGGTTAGCTGCCCAGTGTTTATTCTACAGCCCCACACCAGGACTCCTCTATTTATGTTATGACCCCATAATGGATTATTATTTTTGCTTTAAACAATTATCCTTTAAAGAGATTTAAAATAATAAAAACCATTTTATATATATTCACATATTTTATTTCCCATGCTCTTCATTTCTTGGTGTGGATCTAACTTCTGTCCCTGAAGAACTTCCTTTAATATTTACTAGGAGTCCTGGTGTGGTGCTGTGGGCTAATGTGCCAGACTGCAAAGCCGTTTGAACTATAAGGTTGGTGGTTCAAGCTCACCAGCTGCTCCTTGGAAACCCTATGCAGGGTCGCTATGGGTTGGAATCGACTCGATGGCACTTGACAACAACAACAATATTGCAGATGTGCTGGTAATGGATTCTCTCAGCTTTTGAGAATGTCTTAATTTTTTCTTCATTTTTGAAGAATTTTTGCTGAGTATAGAATTCTGGGTGAACAGTTGTTTTCATTTGGGTTGCTGCCATTCAGTACTTTAAAGATGTTGCCCCATTGACCTCTCATTTAGTTTCTAGTGAGAATTTGGCTGTCACTTTGTGTTTCTCCATATATTAAGTATCTTTTCTCTTTGACTGTCTTGTTACTCTAACTCCAGACTGTAAGGTGAAGGGAGAATGGGGACTGGAATCAAGGTATCCTGATAGGATTTTCTGTGGCCACCATAATTAGTGCTGTGGGCGTTCATGAGAAGGCAGGGATGTCATCTGGTAGGCAGGGGCCCTTGTGGGGATCCAGTTGGGCTCACCACAGTAACAAGAAGATGTCTAACTCCTCTTTTCCCAGAATGATGGGAGCAGGGACTGGAGTATGAACAAGGAAGATACTAAACACATGGAAAATTTTATTTCATATTTTGAATCTGGTTGAAGACTTAAAAGATTCCTTTTTCTAAACCAAAAATAAGTTGGCTACTCTCTTTTCATGTTACTCACCATGTCACTGATGCCAAAAGTGAAACCTTTCACTGTAGACATGTAGCTAATCCTCCAGAAGACAGTTTCCCTCTGTTACCCTACGGTATAAACTCAGATTTAGCCCAGTGGATGACTCCACTAAGTTAGGTACTGTAATCAGTAGGTAGAATTTCCTTTTAGATTGTATACTTACTTCTATATGAGATAGAAATGTTGTGTGGCATAGAGGACAAACTACACTTATAACAAAATCCACTCTCCAATACCCTTCTCATTGCATTTATACACCACATACACACACACACAGAGTCAACAAGACACCAAGGTTTTCACTTAGAGTGTGTATAAGATAGTAGCTAAAAGCACACGCCCAAGAGCCATAGGTTTGAAATTCTGTCCCTTATTAGCTGTTTAACTTTGAAAAAGTGACTTAATCTATCTGTGCCTTCAGTCTTTTCATCTTTAAAATAGCTATGTGAATGGTTCCTACTCTAAAAGGTGGCTGTGGAAATGATACCATGTGTATAATCCTCTCAGCATGCCTGGCACATGGCAAGCCTATCTAGTGCCAGTTGTTATTACTGTCTGTCTGATCCTGGTGTAGAGTCCTGGGGTGGCACTGTGAGATAATGCACTGGACTGCAAGGCCAGTTTGAACCACAATGTTAGCAGTTCAAATTCACTAGCAGCTCCTTGGAAATCCTATACAGGGTCGCTGTAAGTTGGAACTGACTTGACAACACTTAATAACAACAACAATCCTGGTGTGGAGGTATAGGATGGGCACCAGGTCAGTGATTCAAACCCACCAGCTGCTCCTCGGAAACCATACGTAGGGTTCTGAACTGACTCGACAGCACTTAACAACAATCCTAAAAAAACCCTGAGGTCTCTCTCATGCACCTGTCTGCCTATACTTTGTAAGAGTTTGAATTCTGATTCTGCCACTTATTAACTGTGTGTCCTGAGGAAAGCTATTTAATCTCTCTGAGCCTCAGTGGTGGGGGTGGTTGCTGTGTGCCATTCGAGTTAATTCGAGTCCTAGCAACCCTTCATAGGATTTCTAAGGCTGTAAATTATCACAGGAGCAGAAAACCTCATCTTTCTATGTCAGAGTGGCTGGTAGATTTGAACTGCTGACCTTCTGGTTAGCAGCCCAGCTCATAACCTACACTCTACCAGGGATCCTTTTCCCTTTCTGTAAATTCAAGATAATAATAATTGCTTTTGAAAGTCATCTCAAAGGCTGAATATATATATATATACATTTAAATATGTTTCACACATGTAAATAGCTTAGTACTTGATAGTTTTTATCATCGGCAAAAAGGAAATAACAATCCTTGCCCTGCCCGTCTCATAGGTTATTGTGAGAAGGTACATGAAAAAGAAGTGCACTATATAAGTGTTGTTACTTCCAGTCCCTAGGGAGACTTGTAGTAGTCCAGCAGTATTAGGGTTGTTGTTGTTAAGTGCTGTAGAGTCAATTCTGACACATAGCAACTTTGTCTAGGGTTCCAAGGAGTGACTGGTGGGTTTAAATGACCTTGTGGTTAGCAGTCCAGTGCTTAACCTATAGCACCATTCCAGGACTCTTGCAGTATTAGGGAGTTAAGCACTGAAGAGAGTAATAGTTCATTATGCAAATGTAAACAAATTGCTACTTGTATCATTAGGAATTTCCAGAACGGTCAGTGTCAACAATTCCACCTACAAACTGCTCAAGAACAACTTTTCCAATTTACTAAAAACTACTTCCTGAGTTTTAAAAATTTAAACAACCCATATAGGATGGTGGTTAATAATTTAAGAATTAGATAAATTGGCTTGGATTTTCTTTAATTTAGTGGATATTGAAATGTGTTGGTCCTGAGTATTACAGAATTTAAACGTTTTCTGCATTTTGACCCAAAAGAGATGAGGTTGGATAGAAACTCTTAGGTTTGGATATAAACACAGAAGACACTCCTTCCGTGGAGGCAGGGGTCTAAAGATGTATTTTTTTTTCCTTCACAACCAGAAAATATGTGTTGTTTCAAAACTATTTTATATGGGGCTCCAGAATTTAATTCTACTGAATTTGAGTGCCATTTCTTTTTTAATTTTTATCTACAATACTATTGAAGCTCACAAAATACCAGTAATCTCCATGCAATGGTTAACAGCAAAAGAACACGCCCTTTACCTCGCTTTCAACTATAACAAACACTAAAACAGTCACACGTGTGATGGAGAAATGAATACAGCAGATCCAGAAGTGTGTTTTGACTCCCCTCCTATGTAGTTTTGATTCCTCTCAGTTTAATTTCTTCAATTAGACTTGCAGCTCATTGTAACCTGGAATATACTTTTAAGTACTTTAGTTTTCTACCAAAATGCTTACAACCACTTGTTGTAACTGCACATAATTGGGAATCAGTTTTTTTTGTTTTGTTTTGTTTTTTGAGTGATTTATTTGGTCTTTGGAATGACATCTTTTGTAGGGAAATTTCAGTTGAAGACATCTAATTAAGAACTGTTTCCTTCTCTGTAGTTACCAGATTTTCCTTCTTGATAGCAGCAAGAGTGGAAGGTGTTTTCTTTCTTTCTGGCAGAATAAAATCGGCATGCCCGGGTGAAAGCGAAGGAAAAGTATAATTGATGTATTTTTGAAATGCTGCCCTTGTTTCTTGTAATTCTTCCTCCAGAAAATCTTTCCAATTTGTCATGATTCCCAGTTGTTTTGCGATGGACAGCAGCTCCCCTTGGGTATTAACCAGTTTATCCATCACATTTCCAAGTGTAACTTGATGTGTTTTCTCCGCTTCTTGAAGCACTTCCTGAACCTCTTCTTGCTTCTGCCTATGAGCCATACCATAATAGATGTTCATTTCGTGTTCTCTTTCCTTTATCAATAGTTCCACACTCTTCTTCTGATCCTTAACAACGGACACACCGGCATTCAACAGTTCCTCCATGGCCTTTCTACAAATGACAATATAAATTTATAAATTCGATGGATTAACCATTCAAACCAAAATAATTTGTCCTTAACCACAAAGCTATGAGCATTTGCTAGGCTGAGTGAGGCTCTGAGACGCTCTCACATTGAGGTTTGGATTGCATTGTTGTTGTTAAGTGCCGTCGAGTCGATTCCGACTCATAGTCACCCTGTATAGGGTTTCCGAGGCTGTAAATCTGGTTTCCAAGGCTGTAAATCTTTATGCGAGCAGAAAGCCTAATCTTTCTCCCGCAGAACCGCTGGTAGTTTCGAGCTCCTGACCTTGAGGTTAGCAGCCCAACTCCTACCAGAGCTCTTTAGGATTGTGTTAGCTAGTAGCAGCAAAACAACAACATTTTTCAGAGCGGAGCAGTTGTTCATTGACTACCCTGCTGTGGTCTAGAAGAAGGCAGTTAGGCTAATGGCAACTTTGCCAGCCTGAGTTTATCTTGGCCAGAAAAATAGGAGGCCAGTGTGCTTAAACTGAAAAAAAAAAAAGGTGGGGGTGGAAGGCTAGTCAGAGTTCTAAACCACTCTGGAAAGCATTTCTTTATGTAAGTTCAGCTGCTGACTTTTAACCAAACAAGAGAAAATTTAGCTTTAACTGCTGGTGTGCCGCGGTAGGATCTGCACTGGACTGCGAACCATAAGATCAGCAGTTCAAATCTACCAGCTGCTCCTCGGAATCCCTATACAGGGTTGCTATGAATTGGAACCAACTCGACAGCACTTAATAATAAAAATCAGTTTAGTTCTAATCTTAGTTTCATCTGAGCAAATTACTGTATGATAGGGGTCTCAGGCCCCCTTTATACTCTTAAAATGACTGAGAACCTCAAACTACTTTTGTTTATATGGGTAATATCTTTTGACATGAACAGTATTGGAAATTAAAAGTGAGATCTTTAAAATATAAATATTAATTCATGTAAAACAATAATCCATTAAATGTTGATATGAAAACATATTTTTATTTTAAACAACCTATATTTTCCCAAACAAAAAAGTATTTAGTGAGAAGAGTGGCATTGTTCTACGTTTTTTGTAAAACGAATCTCTGGCTTAATAGGATAAAAAACTATATTTTCATATTGTTTCATATCTTGTGATATCATATATTATATAAACCCTGGAAAATTCTACTGTATATTCACGGGAAAATGAAAGTGAAAAAGGCAAAAAACATCTTAGTATTGGTAAGAAAGTCGTTTTGACCTTGTGGGACTCCTAAAAGGGTCTCTGGGACCCCAAGGGTTCCTTGGCTCACACTTTGAGAACCAGTGCTGTATGAGTTCACACACCTTTAGTTATAATGTAGGTAATTATATATAGTCTATAGCAGTCAACCATATTGACTTTTTACCATATACCGGGCAGGTTGATGCATGTCTAATAAATATATTACCTCAATGATTTCTTAAAACAACACTATGAGATGATTCTATTTTATTGTGCCTCTTTTACTGATGAGGAAGCTGAGTCACAGAGAAGTAACTTTTCCAAGTTCACTTGATTAGTAAAAGTGACAAAACCAGCTCCTCAACCCAGAGAGTGTGTCCAGAGCAAAAGTTCTTATCTAGTGGTACATTTCTAGTAGATGTCTGTGGTTAACCTCGTTTAAGTAGAATCTTTAAAGATTTGAGAATTTGAAAGTCTGTAAATGTTGGGTTCAAACATCTCTGGTTGCTAAGCAATCCTATCTATATCTAGTTCCCTCCTAGTCTAATACAGACAGTCTAAGATTTGCCCCATTCCCAAGAGACAGTTTTCTCATCTTCTTGGATTCTTTCAGTTTGACTCTCAAACCTGGCAGACTCCCTTAACCTTGAGGTAAACATTACTTGTCCTTGGTCCTTCTACCTGGTATGTTATTTCTTTCCTTAATTTTACCATCAACTAAGTATATCTGGGAAGAAGCTCTGGTAGCGTAGTGGTTATGAGTCGGGCTGACAAGCTCAAGGTCATCAGTTCGAAACTACCAGCAGTTCTGCAGGAGAAAGCTGAGGCATTCTGCTCCCATAAAGATTTATAGCCTCAGAAACCCTATGCAGGGTCACTATGAGTTGGAACTGACTCCATGGTACTTACCAACCAAGTATATCTGGAGTCCTGTTGTGGTGCTGTAGGACAAACACTAGACCACAGGGTCAGTTTGAATCCAAAGGTCGGAGGTTCAGACTCACCAGCCTCTCTGGAAACTCTATACAGGGTAGCTATGAGTTGGAACCAATTTGACAGCACTTAAGAACAACAACAAAGTATATATTTATAAATATCTAGGGTTAATGTTTATTAAGCACTTGCTGTGTCCCAGAGACTATGTTAAGCACTTTACACACATTATATAGCATTAAATTTTCACAAAGTCACTAAAGCTGATCCTATTTTTATTTATTACCTGTTATACTTCCAGTGGTCCTGTTTTGCTGCCATAGGACTCAAGCACTCAAAAGGTCGGTTTGAATCACAAGGTTGGCAGTTCAAACTCATGAGCTGCTCCTTGGAAACCCTACACAGGGTCGCTATGATTTGAAACCCACTCCACAGCACTTAACAACAGGATATAACCCATTTCCATTGAGTTACTTCCAACTCAATGAAACTCTAAGATAGAACTGCCCTACCGGGTATGGGCTGCTGTAATCTTTATGGGAGCAGACTGCCACACATCCTTCTCCCATGGAGTAGAGGGTTGTTGTTGTTGTTGTTAAGTACCATGCAGTAGGTTCTGACTCACAGTGACCTTGCACAGAGTTTCCAAGGGTAGGTGATTTCAAATTACCAACTTTTCAGTTAGTAGTCACCACCCCAACCATGGCTACCAAGATATTTTGTTGTTGTTAAGTGCCATTGAGTCGGTTCCGACCCATAGTGACCCCATATAGGGTTTCCAAGGAGCGACTGGTGAGCTTGAACCACCGACCTTGCAGTTCAAATGGCTTTGCAGTCTGGCGCATTAACCCACAGCGCCACACTAAGATATAGTGGATGAGAAAAAGCAAGACTGAAAACCAGCTTCCTGACTTTCAGCCTGGGTCATAGCACTTCACAACAACAACAACATATTAATTCTAGAATACATTATGTATTTTTCTGTATGTTTTATATGTTGTTGTTAAGTGCTATCAAATCAGTTCTGTCTCATAGCAACCTTGCATAGGGTTTCCAAGGAGCCACTGGTGGATTTGAACCACCAACCTTGTGGTTAGTAGTCCTACAGCACCACAACAGGACTCTATATTTTATATGTTCTTGTTAAGTACTGTCCTGATGACTCATAGCATTTCTAAGGAGCTGCTGGTGAATTTGAATCGTCAACCTTGCAGTTAGAAGTCTGGTGCTTATCCTACAGTGCCACACTAGGACTCCATATGTTTTATATGTTGTTGTTATTAAGTGCCATCGAGTCGATTCTGACCCACAGCAACCCTAAACAGGTTTTCCAAGGAACAGCTAGTGAGCTTGAACCACAGACCTTGCATTTCAAATGACTTTGCAGTCTGACTCATTAACCCACAGTGCCACATATAGTTCATGATAAAAATATTTAAATACAAAAACTGGGCATATGTTGTTGTTGTTGTTGTTATTTGCTGAGGAGTCGGTTCTGACCCTGTACAGGTTTTCCGAGGCTGTAAATCTTTACGGGAGCAGAAAGCCTCATCTTTCTCCCGCGGAACTGCTGGTAGTTTCGAACTGCTGGCCCTGAGGCTAAAAGTCCGATTCGTAACCACTATGCTACCAGTATATATATATATATATATATATACCTTAACCATATCCCTTTCTCTAAGTTGATTTTGATAAAAGGAAAATATTAATTTCTGGAATACCTTCTGTGAGCCTGCATTTCTTTTTCTGCTAAATGTCTTTCTTCATGCCTGGCTTTCTCCACAGCCTGGACCTTCTCCCTGTGGCATTCCATCATAATTCTTTGGATTCTATGGACCATACGTTGTTCTGCAGCCAAGTTTTCTCTCTTTAGTTCTTCTTCCATGTTTCGATGCATCTCTAGCCTCGTTTTTTCGACTACATCCTTAAGCAACATTAAAACTAGGTTTAGATATTATGTCTTTGTTATTAAAAAATGTACACTAAGAGATTATTTAAATCATAGTTATCTACCTGATGGGATGTGCCTCTGTTAACACTGATGATTTAGAAGAAAACCATGTCTAAGCTTATACAATGTTAAGTGAAATGTAAAAGGTACAAACTATGTTGATAAATATGTTTGTAGATAATATTATAAGACAATATTAAAAAAAAGATGTAGTTGTGTTGAGGGAAGGATAAGATTTATGTCTTTTTTCTTAATTGTTCAAATATTCTATAGTATCATATTATCTTTACATGTAATTTAAAATTATAATACAGTTCTATTTCAGAAGGTCAGTCTTGGGAAATGGCAGAAATAGCTATTATGCCTCCTTAGTGTTTCCTAGGTAGGAGGGAGCCTTAGGCTCATGCAGAACACAGTTGTGCATTCCTATAGTTACAGGAACTTGCTGGTCCAGTCCCCACCTTCATTCAAACGTTCCAGCTCTTCTTTAGTGTTAAGTGGCCCTTTCTTGTTAATGCAGGGGACAGGAGCAAATAAAGAAGTTTGCTGGGGGACACAAATGGCTTGCACCTAACTACCAACTTAAATAGTAGCAGTTCAAAACCACCCAGCAACACTGTGGAAGAAAAGTCTACTTTTGTAAATACCACAGCCAAAAAGACCCTATGTAGTATGTAGGGTACTCCATAGCTTCTGGTAGAAAGCATGGACAGCCTTCAGGCAGATGAAGAGAAAAGACACTAGCTAAATCAGGACTTGAGGAAAAGAGATACATCATCCTAAAGGAAGATCCTTGCCATCATTTTGGAAATATTTATTACCTCCTCACTGTGGCAGGCAATAGGCTAGCCACAGCCCAGATGATACAAACACAAGAACACTGCAATGCTTATCCTTAAGGGATGTAATGCAAGAGACCTATGACCAGATGGTACAATGAGTGTTTTAAAAGAAATACATGCCAGGAAGGAGGGTCAATTAACAAATACTATCCAGGAGTTTCAAAATTTTCATTTAAAGGTTAAATGTTCGCCTCTATTTTAGGAACGTCATTGAGAGACCAAAAGTTAAATCAAGCTCTATTCCAAAGTGAGGCCATGAAGGAAGGAGGGGTAGAAACAGGATTCTCAGTTTCTTGCTACATTGCTGACTATGATGCTGAAGTCTTTCAAGAAATTCATCAGCTTGTTTTTCATTCCAGAAATCACAGTTTTAAAAGATAGTACAATATTGTTGTTTTTAGATTTTTTAGTTTGTTTTTAAAGCTACAGACTCCCTTCTTCAAATGAAATCTTACCCAGAAGTGGAGAGAAATATAAGCAATTAAAGCAGAGTTTCTCTGGTTGAAAGTTGTTCATATCCCTTTACCCACCACCATTCCTTTCTGTGATTATTCCTGGGAAAGCCAGGACACTAAGTTGCAGAGGAAACTGAAATAGCTTTTAGCTTCTTAGAAAAATATTTGAAAGACAAAACCAGTCACTGTCAAGTCCATTCTGACTGCTGGTGACCCCATGTAAGTAAGAGTAGAACTGCCCTCTATAGGGTTTTCAGCGGCTGATTTTTTGGAAGTAGACTTGAGCCGCCAATCTTTTGGTGGCAATCGAGTGTGATGACAGTGTATACTCCCCAGGTATTCCACATGCTAGTCAGATTTTCAGAAGTAAAGTTTTCAGCTTCTCACTTTGGCTACTCCAAGAGTGAAAAATGAAAACAGACAACAGAAATCACTTTTGAGAATCTCTCCAGAGCAGCCTCACTACATGTATTTGGAAAATATTAGCAGGTTACAAGTGCTAGCTGGGTTTTCCCTTGCACACTAAAAGTTTGTCCCTTATACACTAAAACTTTTTTGATAATTAATATCTTTAATGGAAATATTTCTAAAAATTTTAACACTTAAATCTTTAACATAAAAAGAGTGCATGAACACGAGTTACATTTTCTTAATAGTATACTGGATACAATAATTACTCGAGTTCATAGGGCCACTTATCTCTATTATAAATGACCCCAGACAATTTGAGGTTTGATAACTGCTTTTTATGGAGTACCGATGTGGTGGTGTAGGACCATAAGATTGGTTTGAACCATAAAGTTGGTGGTTCAAACTCACCAGCTGATCCTTGGAAACCCTATACTGAGTTGAAACTAACTTGATGGCACTTAACAACCATTTTTTATAAAATTTCTTGTTCTGCCCACACCATTGAACTAAGGACTCTTCATCTTAACTGCTGTCATTATGTCCCTTCCCATCATTTCTAGTTTTCAGCATTTAATCTATTTTGGATTTAGAAAATTAAGCAATTGTCTTTTAGGTTGAGGTTGTCAAGTAAGCATAAATAAGATGTGGGTTGGATGGAGAGATGCTGCTGTAGATAATAAGCCTGTGTTTTCATCCTGAAGTCAGAGATCTTTATCTGACTCAGGGACATTTTAACTTATTTCTGGGCTTTCAATCAATATTCTCAATAACTGAGATTGCTGGGTAGTTGGTAAAATATTATCATAATAATATTTCTATTTGCATCATATGTTTAAAAATTATATCCCTGGGTTCTAACCTAAGCTAGGATTCAGAGTATCAAATTTAACCTTTCTTCTATGTAGTTATTGTATAAAACCAAAATTACTTTACTGACTCAGATAGCATGTGAAGTACAGGCACCCTCTGATTTTCAAGGTTACTATACACCACACTTCACTTTAACTAAAGATCTACATTAGTACCTGTTTTCCTTAAGCAAAATGAATCTTAAGAGGATTTTCACTTTTTTGAAAAACTACAGAAAGCTAAACTAGTGCTCAGCGGTTGTTTTGCAGTGAGAGGTTAAAGAAACAGCATGCGCCTTGAGCAGCAAGAGCGGCACACCAAAATTCTTTTTTGAGAATTACATTGTACATACGTTAATTTTATTTAGGTTGTGTATTTGTCACATCATTCTTGCTTTACTATATTGAATCCTGGTGTGGCGCTGTAAGATTAGTGCTGGACTACTAGGTCGGCAGTTCAAACTCACCAGCTGCTCCTGGAAACCCTTCACAAGGCCGCTTTGAGTCAAAACTGACTCGATGGTAATTAACATCAACAACTGTATGGGGAGTTCTGGTGTGCCGCTAACAGAATAAGCACTGAACTGCTGACTGCCAAACTGGTAATTCAAACCTACCAGCCAGGTTTTCTAGGAAACCCTAACCAAGAGTTGCTGTAACTAGAACCAGCTCACTGACGCTTAACGCATATTGTTTTAGGTTTTATGTGCTATTTAGTGTGATTTGGTAGGTTATTTTGGGGATCTGAGAATGCTCAAAAATGTGTCCTATATAAATTAATAGTAACTGCTTCTTTACTTTATGCCATTTCCCTTTATGCACGGTTTCATAGGAACACTTTACTTTTGGATAGTGGGGGAAGCCTGTACACAGTTAAAGCTACATACTAATTTAAAAAATCTACTGTTTGGCAGTCTTGTAATTCAGAAGGAGATTTCCTGATCCCATTACTTTTACTGCAATGCATACTGAATGACCCAACCTACATTTGAAGATATTACACAAAGCAGTCTAAAGAAACCTATCATGTTTACTATACAGATGTTTGATAGACATCCCCTACACAATGCCTCCCACATGAGACATTTCTCTCAGGTATCACAACTAGGAATAGCTGGGCCTCTCGTGAGCATCTTATTTGTTTGACTTTATAGACATGGTGGGGAGTATGGTGACTCCATATGCTAAGCACTGAATCTTGAACCATAAGGTCTACAGTTGGAGTCCACCAGCTACTCTATGAGAAACATTAGGCTTTCTGCTTCTTCAAAGATTTAAAGCCTTGGTAACCCTATACAGGGTCACCATGTGTGGGAACAGACTGTCTGTACATAACAACATAGACATGGTAATTCATGGAATTTCACTCTTTGCATTAGCTGTCAGAAAGCTCAAGGTCAAATCAGTTGCACAGGACCTCATGGCTTATATATTTTCTTACATTTTAAATTCACCCTAACTTCATTACACTTCCTACCCTAATTTTTATTAGTTTCCCTTGTTGTTAAGTGCCATCAGTTGGTTCTAACTTTTAATGACCTTGTATAGGGATTTTTGAGGAGCAGCTGGTGGGTTTGAACCGCCAATCTTATCCTATAGTGTCACAACTGTACTCCAATTTTCCTTAGATATCATTTCCTTTTCAATACTGTTGTGTTTTAATAATATAAATTACTTTCCAAAGTCGTTTTACCTGTCCATTTGATTGTTGTTAAGTGACTTCACAGAGGTTCCAACTTATAGCCATCTTGTATAGTCTGTCTGAGGAGAAGCCGGTAGGTGTGAACCACCAACCTTGTGGTTACTTGTTGTTGCTGTTGTTAGGTACCATCGAGTTGGTTCTGACTCATAGAAATCCTATGCACAGCAGAACAAAACACTGCCCAATCCTATGCCATCCCCACAATTATTGTTAAGCTTGAGCCCACTGCTGCTGCCAATCTATCGCTGACCCTCCACTTTACCAAGTATGATGTCCTTCTCTAGGGACTGGTTCCTTCTAATAATACTTCCCAAGTATGAGAAATGAAGTCTCGCCAGCCTAGTTTCTAAGGAGCATTCTGACTGTACTTTTTCCAACACAGATGTGTTTATTCTCCTGGCAGTCCGTTGTACTTTCAACATTTTTCTCCTCCACCATAACTTAAATGCATAAATTCATCTACAATCTTCATTATTCACTGTTCAACTTCCACATGAATATGAAGCTATTGAAAATACCGTGGCTTGGGGCAGGCGCACCTTAGTCCATGACCTGAACACTTTAAAGAGGTCTTATGCAGAAGATTTGCCTAATGCAATATGTCATTTGATTTCCGTGGGTGTTAATAGTGGATCCAAGCAAAATGAAGTCATCGACAACTTCAATCTTTTCTCCACTCATCATGATGTTATTTATTTGTCCAGTGATGAGGATT